CTAGGAACCTACTAGCTATGATAGCATCTGAGGTGGAGGCAGTCCTGTAGGACTAAGCCCTAAAACAGTGGGAACTGATACCATCCCTACGTAGATAGGATCACAACTGCATTAAATTACAGGGCACCTAACTGGTGTCACAAAATTACTCAATGTGAGAAAAAAAAAACCCATACATCTGGTGTCAGAAGTATTGAGAGTATAGTAGTTGTGTGAGTAAAGGAGACATGCAGAAGGGAAAGGACTGGGATTTTTTTCTAACTCAATATGCCAGGAAGTGGGGGGTGGGCAGGAATCATCAAGAATAAGTTAAAGCAGAAAAGTAATTTTTATAGAAAAGTTAGAAAATAAATCCAGGAGGTGTAATATCTGAACAAGAATTCCATTAAGAGAAAATGAGAAATAAATCAAAGAAATAACACAAGAAAATCATCTAAAACTAGGAATGAGTTTCCTTTATTTTTGAAAAGGAATAACAATGATCCCACACTAAGGCATATCACTATAAATTACAGAATACCAGGAAAAAAGAAAACATTAAAGTATTTCCAGGGGAAGCAGGGAAAAACCCTCATATAAGGACTGATATTCAGATGGCCTTGGATTTCTCAGGAAACGATACCCAAGACTAGAAGAGCAAATGCATGCAAAATTCTGAAGAAAAATTATTTTCAATTTGGAATACTTACCAGAAAATTGTAAACTAAGAATAAGAGATGAATAAAGATAATTTCAGATATACAAGAATCTGAATGTGCATCTTCTCTTGAAAAGCTACTAAATAATAGGCTCCATCAAAACAAAAAATAGTAATAATAAAGCAAGAATATAGATTAGACCTAGAAATCAGGGACCCAACATATGAAGGCAGTAACAACTATTCCCCTGATGAATTCACAGCAGTGGTTCTTATCATTGGCAGCACACTAGAATTACGTGGGGAGCTTTAAAAACCCTGAAGCCCAGGCCTCAATACAGCAGGGCATCTGAGGGCATGACCCACGCACCAGTGAATTTTAAAGCCCCCCGGGTGATTTCAATGTGCAAACAAGGATGAGAACCATCCTTTGAAAGTTTCGGAATAAGAACTGTGTAGAAGCCCTAAAGAGCAACCAGCCCAAGTTAAGGCAGGAGGTAAGAGGGATGTGGAAGGGATATTTTTAAGAGGGAAAGAAACCTGGCATTGACAAACTATCTAACAGGCAAAAAATGGAAATTGTGTGGAAATTTGCATGAAGAAGCACTTTGTAAACTCTCACAAAAACTGAGGAAAGGCAGTCAAATGTTCAAAGGAAACTAAGAAAATGCAAAAATAAAATGAAATTTTTAAAAAGTTGTGAAAAAAGAAAATGTAATTGGCTTACTGAGAAAATATTCACATTGTCATAATAAGAAAAAGGATGAAATACTGGTTACATTAGGAGAACAGGGGAAATAAATTATTAAGAACTAAAATTGATTAATCATGAGACAGTAATATACCTGTTAAGAGATATATGAAGTCAAATAACAAAAGAAACAGTTGGCAGAGTATGGTGGATGAATAATGGCTCCCTAATGATGTCCATGTCCTAATCCCTGGAAGCTGTGAATATTACCTTATGTGGCAAAAGGGAATTTGCAGAAATTAAGGATCTTGAGGAGAGGATACTGGGTGATCCAGGTGGGCCCAATATAATCACAAGGTTTCTTATAAGAGGAAGGCAAAGTCAAAGAGTGTGGAGAAGGTGATGTGGGAATGAAAGCAGAGATCAGAATGATATAGCCACATGCAAAGGAGCCAAAGGATGATGGTGGCCAAGAGACACTGGAAAAGGCCCTGCTAGAGCCTTCAGAAGGAACCAGCCCTGCTGACACTGGATTTTAACCCCTTTGTACTCATTTCTGACTCGGATTCCAGAACAGTAAGAGAATGAATATGTGTTGTTTTTTTGCCACTAAGTTTGCAGTAATTAGTTACAGCAGCAATGGGAAAGTTTTTATTGAGGTATAATTGACATGTATATATGTTTAAGGTTTATAACTTAATTCAATATTTATATCTATTGTGGAATGATCAATACAGTAGTCTAATTGACATCCATCACCATACATTGTTATAAAACCACTTCTTGTGATGTGAACTTTTAAGGTCTATACTTTAGCAACTTTCAAATATGCAATATACTATTGACTATAGTCACCCTGCCACACCTTAAATACCCACTACTTACTTTACAAGCAATGGGAAATTAATAAAAGGAGTTTAAAGTGTTGGAGTAAAAGTAGGACTGAAGGCATGCGAGGAGCATATGCCCTTAAGTGTTGACTTTAAAGAATATGTGGCACATGGAGAAAAATTAAAATAACCAAGTTTTAGTAAGTGTTCAGAGTAGTGAAAGTGAAAGGATATGGCCATACAGATATAAGTGATTGATAAGTGCCCTTCAAACATTAATGTGCACACAAATCACCCACAGACCATGTTAAAATGCAGCTTCTGAAATAAGACTGCAGTGGGGCTTGAGATTTGTCTACATTTCTGTAAGTTCTCAGGTGATGCTCATGCTGCTGGTCTGCGAGTGGTGAAGACCTAGACTTTATAACTATAGAGAGAGGTGAGTGGGAGGAAGGGAGGAGAGAGCAGATAGCACTTTTTGATTAAGCTAAGGCATTCTGACTTTGTCCTTGAAGATATAGTGATCACTGGGCAGTGAAACAACAGGATGAGCATTTTAACAATTACCATTCCCTCTAGAAGAAGAGGAAGCAAGGGGTAGCAAACCAGAGACTGGAAGCCATTTAGTGTGCATGCCTTTTTCTGAAGTCTTTATGTGTAACATCTAAAGGAATTTTCTTATAGTCTTTTTCACTGACATGATTATATAGTATTTATTAAATTCCTGTCTGCCCATGACAAATCCACATGTAAACAGCATAAGAAAAACAATATTCTCAGGAAAGTTGCATTATGTAATAAAATTAAAATTGTTTCTTAAAAAAAAAACTTTGAAATCCTGCAGCTCTTCACATCCCATGTAAATGGTATCACACAGTATTCACATTCCATATATTGACCATAATTAAGGTAAACCACAGGTGTCATAACTTTGCAAAAGTTCTATGTACATGTTTGACTTTCCTTAAGCATTAGATGTTTCTGCAAAGAACAGGAAATCTATGCAGACATATTAGATAGAATAAGAATATAATATGGGTAAAAATTCAGTTAAATATGTGGCAAAAAATGAGTAACAATTTGGTGTAAAAATCCAAGGAGCTACTGAATTCAGTTCATAAGGAACCATTCTGGGCCTAATCCTGCTTCATATTTTCTACTAATAATGCTGAGGATCATGTGGCTAATGCAGTCCACAAAACATGCAGCTATGGGATACATTATTAATGCTTTCTATGACAGTATTAAAGTTCAGGATGATCTTGTTAAATTGAAGAACTGAGCCAAAATCAACAGAACAAGCATGCATAATTCCACCAGGTGTTTCAAACCACAGGAGTCAGGAAACTCTGAGCAGAAAGCAAGACCATCCTAGCAGCCAAAAGCCCAGTTGGTAAGGCTATCCAACTCCTGTTTTCCCTCCCCTCTCTCACTGCCACAGGGTATCTGGATAGATGCAAAGACTGTTCCTACACATGATTAAACTCTACTACCTATAACTTGCCTTTCCTCCAGAGCCCTGCAACAAGGGGAGAGAAATAATTAATTTGACATGACTTGAGGAGCCCATACTAGCAAATTTAGACTTTAAACTATCACATTAGCAGCAGGGAAAAAATGGTCTTTCCCCATAAAGTGTCATAATATCTTCCTGACATTTTAAAAACATGGTCACTAATGAGAAAAAGGGTGGCTGGGAAAAGATGAAGATCAGATTTCTCTAACAACTTATTTTTTTACCCGCCCAAATCCCGAAAATGCAGACATTTTAGAACTCAAACCCATATTTTCTTTGAGCTACAACCCTTTGCCAGACTCATCCTTAATTACATTTATTTTGTTGTGTCCTGTTAGCTATTAATAACCAAGCCCTGGCAATTTCATCTGTCAGCAGTTCTCTAACCTGCACTCTCATCTCCATCCTCTCACCCACCGCCCTGCTTGAAGTCTTCATCTTTCCTCACCTAGGCTAATACAGAAGGGTCTTAGATGCCCCACTGCCTTCCATATTCTTTTGGATTCATCCTTTACATGGTTACCAGTGTTATCCAGCTAAAGTACAAATCTGACCTTGGACCTTCCCTACTTAAAACTTTCATTACCTTCAGTCTTCACAGAATGAGGTCCAAGTTCTCCAAAGTGATACACAGATTTCTACAGTGGTGTTCCACCACGAGTACCGCCAGCTTCCTGTGTGAGGCATTTCTGGATTTCTCACTGTCCGTGGGGTGCTACTAGCATTTTGTGCCCAAGGATCAGGAATGCTAAACATCCTGCAGTATCCAAGAGAGTCCACTGAGGAACCATCCTCATAGTTCCTACCCACCTCTCCAGCCTTCTATACTGCAGCTCTTCTAGAGTTGCACTCCTGTAGTCTGCACCTACACAAAACTCCCAACACAAGCCATGCTTTTCCTTGACATTATACTTTAACTCTTGCTTCTGTGTCTTGATTAATTTGACACCTAGAACGATGCTCTTCACTTTAACTCATATTTTAAACTTCAGCTTTCTAATTAGTATATGCTCTACACTTAATATATGTTGTTTTATAACTATGGTTTTCTCCTTCACTTGACTAAGGTCCTTACAGGCATGGTGGATAAATGGTGAGATCAAAGGCTTTACTGAGGCCAATGTTTTTTTGTCCAAATGCCCATAATACAGGTGACAGGTACAAGCATTATTTTATAGCTGAAGCAGCAATTAAAGTTTCAGGTTAGGACATCTGTCTTTAGTTGCAATATTCTGTGTTGTATAGGTCACTCTATGCACTTAATCTTCATTTACTAAACACCTCTTTTGAAAATGCCAGACATTCCTTGTGTGGCATTCCACTTACCCAAGGTGAAGATTGTGGGTTATGATGAGCAGTTTGACAGATACTTCTGTTTGGCAACTCTGTCTCCAGTCTGCTCAAGAACTCAGCAGTTTTGCTAGCAGAAACGAAAATAGGTGTTAGTGCCTTCATAAAAATAGAAATATCATTATTTAGTGTGCCTTTGGATACTAGCCTAGGCTTGTATTCCATGATGCCTAAAAAATGTCTTAGGTAGAACAAAAGGTCAGTTTCAGTAGAATAGAAAATAAAAACAATGTTATTGCAAAACTGCATTCTTAGAGAACATTAGTTTGAAAAATATAAGTCTAGGTTTGTAGAATTTAAACCTATTCTTTCATTTTTCTACTTCATATACTTTGACATGGAAATAGATACTCTTTCATATTTTACAGTACAGGACTCCAATTTCATAATTGAACATTTAATGCTTGACACTCAGACTTCATTATAGAGTGAAACATTAATTCCCACAACATCTCATTCCACACTGGTTTTTCATTAGGCCCTTCACCTTCTTTCTCCTGGTCATCTCATTTCCTTCATAGTTTTGATTTTCAGCATAAACAGACCCTCTAATCCAGTAACTCTTAGCTATTTATGAATCATGGACCCCTTTGGGATTCTGAAAGTAGAAATGGACCATCTGTTTCCAGACACATACACACTTGCATTTGATTTGTAAGAAGTTCTGTAATTCTGATCTGCATTTTTGACATAAAAGATTGGCCTAGACCTATCCTCAGAGTTAAGAAGTTCTTTGTTTATCCCTTAAAAATATAAACTATCACCCCAATTTGCCTCTTAGATATGTGAAGCATAGAACACTGGAATTGTTTCCTGGCCCTTACTTTTGTAATTGCCCTGTTCTACCTACTATTGATTTATGTACATTCCTTTGTCCTTCTCCTCATGTAATGTATAGGATTTGTTACCCCTCTATTTCTCATTCACAACAAAACACCTCATTCATTTTGCACCACCTGATTCCTTCCTTGTATCTTTCTGCTTTGCCCTAATATTTTAGGTGTAATGCTAAGATCCAATTCATCAGCACTTAGGGCATGAACATCAAAGGAAATACAAGAGGCCTGGTCAAAATAAGTGATATCCAGTGGGGTGAAAATCAAAACAAGGAATTAGAAAATAAACAGAGATGCCAACGTCACTTCAAATAGTTACTTAAGTAGAACATGACATTTGAACAAGCTCAGAAGCTTGAGCCGAGAATGGAAGAACTAAAAGTTCAATGATGTACATAACCCTAAGAAACATAAAGCTTCAGCAGTTAAGACAAGCAGCCTTTCCATTTGTCTAGAATTTCTTATCTTGCCAAGAATAGACAAGGAGACTAATGAAGTCTCAGAGTCTGGAAGCTGCCCCAGTGTCTGGGGCTTTATGAAGTCATCAGTCAAAAGTATAAAGAGAATAGAGTTGTCAGAAGCATAGGAGAAAGTACTGAAAAAGAAACACCATGACAAGCAAGGAAGAAAGTTCAGACTAAGTTGACTGGCAGCCCTGCATTGTGTTCTGATGGTTGCTTCTTATATGCCAGTTCCAGCACAAAGCTGGCTGGATAGCTAACCACCAGCGTGGACTTTGTGTCAATGTCATTGCCCTGCTCATGCCACAAAATTAAATCATAATGACAGGGCCATAGGACTGTCACGGAAATGTGAATAGGAGCAAATGGAGAAAGTGTATTATTTCAAAATGATTAACTATACAAACAAGTTCCAAGTAACCAAGCTAACAGGTGTTTTTCTACAATTAGTATAGTGTCACATGGTTGAGTCAACCAACAGAATATGAAAGGAAATGATGTACACCTCCATTTCCAGGACTAACTAATTATAAACTTCCCATGCATGCACCTCCATATGTTGTTTTTCTTCTGGCTGCCTGAAAAACAGACAACACCAGAACAAAGTTGAAGTCATATATTAAAGATGAAAGGGCCTATACTGGTTGTGCTGCCTGAATATGAATGGAGGGGGCCTCCTCTCCAACCTGTTCATTCATGTCTTATATGAATAGGAAAAAATATAGTAACTGAGCAATTACATATTTTGAGGTGTATTTATACAGCAACTACTCTACTCAAATAATACAACATAAAGTAATATTCACTAGAGAATAATTTCTCAGTTTAGGTGAACAATTCCAAAAGTATATAAAGAAGCTGAGATTTGTTAAGGAAGAGTAGAAAAAAGAATTCTCAAGACGCACAGGGCATAAAAAAAGAACTTACAAAGAGATAGCAAGCATAAAATGGAACATAGAAACCATAAAAATAGTCAGAAATAAAGAATGCATACCTGTACGAAACATGCAGACAAGATGAAGCATAACAACATCCACATCATGAAGATACCAGAAGGAGAAGAGAGTAAGGGATTGAGAACATATATGAAGAAAAAATGACCAAAAACTTCCTTAACCTAGTGAAGAAAAAAGACATACAAGTCCAGGAAGTTCACAGAATCCAAAAAAGGGACAAAACCTACACCAAGACACATCATAATTAAAATGGCAAAGATTAAATACATGAAAATAATCTTAAAAGCTCAAGAGAAAAGCAATTACTTAGCTATGAAGGAACTGCCATTAGGCTGTCATATGATTACTTAACAGAACCATTTTAGGCCAGAAGAGATTGGCATGAAATATCAAAATGATGAAAAGCAAAGACCTACAATTAAGGCTACTTAACCAAGCAAGGCTATCATTAAAATTGTAGGAGAAATACAGAGCTTCCCAGACAAGAAAAAGGAGCCTGTTAACATCAAACCAATATTGTAAAAAATGTTAAAGAGCTTGCTTTAAGAAGTAGAAGAAAAAAAGGGAAAATGGTTTAAAAATAAAATGACAATAAATATGTATCTCTACCAATAATCATTTTAAATGTAAATGACCTAAATTCTCCAATCAAAAGATGTAGGGTAGCTGAAAAGATAAGAAAACAAAACCAATATATACGCTATCTCCTCCTAATATCAATTTCAGATCAAAAGATACACACAGGCCCTAGCTGGTGTAGCTCAGTGGATTGAGCACAGGTCTATGAACCAAAGGATCACAGGTTCGATTCCCAAACAGGGCACAAGCCTGGTTTGTGAGCCAGGTCCCCAGTAGGGGGTGCATGAGAGGCAACCACACATTAATGTTTCTCTTCCTCTCTCCTTCCCTTCCTTTCTCTCTAAAACTAAATAAAAAATATTTTTTAAAAAAGATACACACAGACTAAAAGTAAATGGATGGAAGGATCCAAGATGTGGAGGAGTAAGTGGAAGCTACACAAACTTCCTCCTGGGACCAAACTAGAATTACAATCAGACTGATCAAGAAAAAAAGAGAGAGGACTCAAAGTCAGAAATGAAAGAGGAGAAATAACAACTGGCACCAAAGAAATACAAAGGATTATAAGAAAATATTATTAATAAGTATACACCAACAAACTGGGCAATATGGACAAAATGGATAAATTCTTAGACGTATGAAGATCCAAATCTAAATCAGAAAGAATCAGAGAATCTGAATAGACATATGACACCTAGTGAAATTGAAACAATAATAAAAAAACTCCCAACAAACAAAAGTCCTGGACTGGATGACTTCATAGGTGAATTTTAGCATACATCCTGAGAAAAACTCCCCTCCTCAAGCTATTCCAAAAAATTCAAGAGGAGGGAAAGCTTCTAAACTCATTTTATGAGGCCAGCATTATCCTAATTCCAAAACCAGATAAAGGCACTACAGAAAAAGAAAATGATAGGGCAATATCCCTGGTGAACATAGATGTTAAAGTTCTCAACCAAACATTAGCAAACTGAATACAGCAATCATCAAAAAGATCATATACCACAATCAAGTGGATTTATCCCAGGAATGCAAGTTTGGTACAAATTCCATTTGCAAATCATTAAATGTGATTTACCACATAAACAAAATGAAGGATAAACACCACATGATCATACCAATAGATGCAGAAAAAGCATGTAATAAAATCCAGTACCAATTTATGATAAAAACTCTCAACAAAGTGGGAATAGATGAAGCATACCTAAACATAATGAAGGCCATATATGACTAACCTATTGCCGGCACCATACTCAATGGGCAAAAAGTACAATTGCTCCCCATAAGATCTGAAACAAGACAGGGATGTCTGCTTTCACCTCTTTTATTCAGCATAGTACTGGAAGTCCTAGCCACAGCAATCAGACAAGAAGAAGACATAAAAGGCATACAAGTTGGAAAGGAAGCAGTAAAGCTGTCTTTACTTGCAGATGACATATTACTGTATATAGAGAACCCCAAAAATTCTACCAGAAACCAATCAAGCTGGTAAATGAATTCAGGAAAGTAGCAAGATATAAAATTAATATCCAGAAGCCAGTTGCATTTTTATATGTCAATAATAAACTAAAAGAAAGGGAAATTAAGAAAACAATTCCATTCACAGTTGCTTCAAAAAAGAATACCTAGAAAGAAATCCAACTAGGAATGGGAAACACCTGTGCTCAGAAAATTGTAAGACACTGAAGCAAGAAACAGAAGAAAATAAAAATAAGTAGAAGCACATACTGTGTTCATGGATAGGAAAAATTTGGATATGCTATCCAAAGCAATCTATAGATTCAATGCAATTCCTGTCAAGATTCCAATGACGTACTTCACAGACATAGAACAAACATTTCAAAAAACTTATATGGAACCATAAAATGCTCCACATAGCAGCAGCAATCCTGAGATAGAAGAACAAAGTTGGAGGAATCACGCTACCTAATATCAAACTATTCTATAAGCCCATAGTCAGAAAAACAGCATGGTAGTGGCATAAAAACAGATACATCAATGGAACAGAATAGAGAGCCCAAAAATAACCCCACATCTTTATAGTCATTAATATTTGACCAAGGAAACAAGCTCATATTATGGACTAATGATAGTTTATTCAATAAATGGTATTGGGAAAATTGGACAGGTACGTGCAGAAAAATGAAACTGGACTGCCTCCTTATGTCACACACAAAAATAAATTCAAAATAGATTAGACTTGAATGTTGGATCCAAAACCATAAAAATCCTAGAAAA